ATCTGCTGATCTTTGATTTTTCGATCGATCGGCTTCTCATAGAAGAGTCTAGCCTGACATTTATTTGATTGAACTAGAGTGTTTTCCTGCTGCCATCTCATGCATTGATCTGTAAGCCTCCATAAGACTAATCCCACTCGCTCTCTCCCTCTAAGAGCTCGTCTCAATCAGCGACCCACACAGACTGTCAGCTAAATAAGTGACGTCTTGTTTCCCTGGTGTGGAGTCTCTGGCAAGGCCACTTTGCAGCTTGCGCAAGTTGTGCAGTGTCTCATTTCCATTTTCATTCAACACTTGCCCCACTCCACACTCCATGCTCTACACACACATACACACACAGCAGAGAGCGTGCCCCACTCCCTCGCTACGTGCCAAGGCGTCTGATGATTGCACCTGAAATTTATTCAAAAGCCGAAAAATAACAAAAATGAACTCGAATTGCGTAAAGTTGTGATGTCGAACATGCGCGACTATTGAGAGCCATTCCATGGAGCAAGTGCGCGACAATTGCGCAATGCTTGTGCCCTCGACACTTTGTCGCACTCCCCAAATGAGCTCATTATCAATGAAAACACTAATCAAATTCATTAAGCGCTGATTAACGTAACTCCCCCAAATAAAACACTGAAGTCTTGTGCAAGGTTAACGATGGAGCAAAGTGAGTTAAACGCAAGTTCGTTCTCATGGAACCGAGGATCTATTAAAGTTACAGCTATCAAAATTGGTACTTAAATAGCGTATAAAGAGATGTAGTTARGCAACTTATTGGAAAACTGATAATATAATGATTTTCAATAATATTTTTAATGAACTCGGGATCTGCTTGAGCTAGAGCTAAGAAATTAGGAATGTGAGTAATGTATAAAGATTGGTTAATAGCTAGTGCTGTAAAATTATTGAACAGGTGATAATACACGAGATTATAATTAATGTTCTCAAAGAACTCAGCATCTATTCGAGCTGGAGCTATCAAATTTTTTATGTGAATACGATGTGGAGATGCTTTTGCATTTTGCTTAAGATTTTCAGTTGAAGCTGTTAATGTTCTCAAGAAACTCTGCATATGTCGGAGCTAAAGCTATGGAAATTAAAGTAGGACGTACCATTCCAATATTTAAGTTAACTTTTACGATAATTTGAAGAAAAACTGATAATAACTGTAATTTTAATAATAAAAAGTTTGTGTTTCCAAGAAACTGTTGTAGTTTAGAGTTTTGAATATTGATATATCAATGCATACTAAGTGCAATTTGAAAGTTTTTCTATCAGATTCAATTATTTAATCGTGATCAGTGAACGAAAGAATATTGTGAGTTATAGCCATGTAATTCGGTATGCGAAAACTGTTGAGGCTTTTATAGCTTGGCAAATAGTAATTTATGAACATGGTAAGCAGATAGTTAATACTTTTGCGTATGTTTATTTGTGCATTGCATAAGAGATGGCTTATGCAAGCAACTAGTTGGTAATGGATGAGAGGTAAAGGATACTCTAACATCTGGTCTGAGGCTTATCCCCAGCTCTAGTCTGGGTTGCGGTGGCCGCCAGAGAGACTGAGACAGAGACAGAGACATAGACTGAGAGAGAGGGCGAGAGAGAGAGAGACGCAAGTGCGGTTTGTCTCGCTGAAGTGCGTGATACACGCCTACGGTTGCCGCCTTTTTGGCTTCCTCAACTCTGTTTATTTTGACTTCCTCGTTGGGCCAGTTTGTTGTTTGGCCGCGCTTATGTAAGGGCAAACGGGCAGCCGCCGCCTCGTTTGGGAGAGTTTTTAGCCTCAGACCACAAAAATAATATTAATAATATGATGAAAAGCAAAAGGCTGATGCTTGCACGCATGCGCGCACAATGTGCCACGCCTCCAAATAGATGATGACGATATATGTGTGTATGAGTGTGTGTGTGTGTGGTGTGTGTTGCACAAATGAGCCGTGGCATCGACATGGAGCATCAACATAATAGCTCTTGTGAGTTATGTATCTTTGCATTGGTTAGATGCGAGCTTCGCTTTTCGCATTGCAATTAAAATCGCACAGCTTCCGCAATGCAATTTAATGATCATTACGTTAATGATCAGCATGAGCTGTTGTACATCAGCCCTGGCCATTATCGTATAGGCAGACCCATCGCAGCCCAGTCATCCCATCATCTAATGTGGAGGGTACGTAATGCGCCGCCTCGACTGCAGCTTCTTCCACAATGTTTTTTCCCCCTCGTTTGTTTCATTTTTTTTTTCGACTTTTCACTTCACTCTGTTTGCACTTTTACTTTTCTTATTGTCAACACAATATGAAATACAATTGTGCTGAGAAAAAAAACTAGATAT